TTTGAGCCCTTGCCTCAAAACGCTGCCAGTTCTGTTAGCGCTACGCCTGCTGAAGGCACAGATGTCCATCCCTGTGAACACTGGGACGGAACTCAATGGGAAAGGAAATGATTCTCATTTCAACTGTTGCGTTTATTAGCTGCGACATATGAATCGAGATGCTATGAATGGAAAAATTTGAATGACGGATGACCGTTGATATATGATTGGCCGAATTTAGGTGTTCAGGCTGACGTAGAACTAACTGGCCTGCATAATATTACGGAAAAACCCCTCACAGATTTTAAGACAAGATTTTGTTAAAATAGAAATACTCTAAATTTTGGGTCAATATGGTCTGATAAAGAGTACATTTATATACATGTTTAAGCCACGATGATTTGACATTTAAATATGACTTCCGTATGGCTTTAAGCAAATAAATAAGCTTTATTTGAAAAGTGAACAAATTCTTGTCCTTATACTTTCAAAGTGGATAACACGTTGTTTTATTTGTCGTATTTATTGCAGCTGACCATAAGGAGCGGCTACCTTTTTATTTACAAGCGAGGGCTCCAGCCTGAGGAGCTGGGAGAGGTCAGGCACTCGAGCGCTGGCGGCGTGGTAGATCCACTCTTTCTCTGTAGGATCCAGCTGGAACAGAAACACACATCCTGTTGGAGACTCTTAGAGCACAAACGTCTAATCCATTTCCTACAAGCACTGACACCAAGCCAACTGACACATTGCGGGAGACACCCACCATTACACTGCGCTGAGCTTAAAAGTTTTTCCTTCAGTTATTTGTTTAACGGGGACTAACTACACCAGGAAGGTGGATTTTATTTGCAAGAACCAAACCTAAAAGGTCATTCTGAATGTTACAAACAAAAGTAAAGCTGCTATGACTTTGTGAACTTCACTGTTAATATGTTTTACCTCCTTGGCAAACATTAAGCAGCGGGGAAGACTGTTTGAAAAAGCCTTAGAGGGACTTACAGCGACAGAAGTGGAGCCCATGCTGCCTGTGGACTCCTCGTCATGCTCCGACTCCGACTGAAACACAAACCAGGCGAGAGCATCACTCAGCTGTGACGGGGAAAAAAAGCCGATCTGACACAGGTCAACCGTCCCGGGTCAGACACACACCCACTTTCACACACTGGTCCCACTGCTGTGATGCGACCAAAAGGGTGTCAGACAGATACGGAGGTAATGAGACAGCGAGAAAGAGGAGGCGCTTTCACACCTAAGCGGTAATGAATAACAATCCCATTAACAAATAACAAGAAACATCAAGTGGTTTATTTTTATTTTTTGTCTAACAAGTTTAAGAGAAACTCCAGCTGTTTATATTGCTGTCATACGGCTGATTTATGCGAAAGAGGAATTTTCTCCCCTTTCTTCTCAACTCTTTTGAGGAACTCGCAAATTGTTCTCAGATCACACAGACGGCTGACGGTAAAACAGGGAGCCCTTTAATGTCTGCTACCCAAACTGCCACATGTCAGCACTACCAACACGAAAAGTGGAGGTTGACTATTTATCCAGCCTTTTCCATTTCGACAGCTACTTTTTTCCATGCCTTCTGGGAGAGACCGGTAATAACAGACAGCAGAAGCGAAATAACACAGGCGGTCGTGACACTGTGGGATGAAGAGGGATCAAATACGCAAAGAAAGATTCTCGCTGCTTTTTCCCATTTTATCATAAACTACAATACTTTTTGAACACATCTGCAAACATTATAGCCAAACCATGCATTCAAGCAGGAGTTGACTTGATATCAAACCAAAGTTGGACCTTTGCTCCTTTGTCTCGTTGCATTAAACCTGGAACTGTGATTATTATGGAACTGATTTTGAT